CTATACATATATATATAATTTAAAAAAATTTCTGCCGTAAAGAAATCCTAATGAAAATTATTTTATGTTTAAAGATTGATTTGTTTAAGTGTATAAATGGAATCAAATTTTAATCATGCATTTTTGATTTCATTCAGCAGAATGGTTGTTTTTTTTTTTTGCAGATCGCTAGTTTATCTCTGTTAACACACAGACATAACCTCACGCATACACGCCCACACACACATAGTCATTCACACATACACAGCCACACGTTTGCCATCATCGAGGGGCACATTTGGCAGCGCCCGGCATTGGCATTGCAATGTTTTACTAATAATTTTCAATATAATCAGCACCTGCGACGAGCGAAAAGGAAGCCGACAAATGTTGCTAATGTATAAACATTTGAGCGAATAAAAACTGAAATGGCCCAGCTAGCGAGACGGCTCAGACGGGACGCAACGGGTGGCCCACACGACCGTGTGCGTGTGTGTGTGTATGTTTGTGCCACATTTATGTGGCATCCGCTATCCGCCAAGAGTGCCAGAGTCGAGGCACTGCGGCAGTTGGAGCCCGTAATGCGTTACGGTTACGGCGTTAATTTCACCACATGTGGTTCCTGATGGCAAACGAATGGAAGGACCAACAACTGCCAACAGCCTCTGGCCAAGTCTTAAAGCGTCTGCAAAAGAACTGATGTGATGCGACATGCAAATATTTGTACAGTGGGTAAGTGCTCCAATCGCTGAAGGAAATCGAATCGAATATGATCTTAATTTGATAACAATATTATGCAAACAGAGATCATTCATAAAGTTAATTTTAAAAATTATATACGACATACATATATTATAAATATATTTATAGAATATATATACCAAATTTAATTTAACTTTTAATGTTTATGTTCCCATATTCTATACAGCCAAGGCGACATCATTTCAGTTCATTCTGGATCCATGTCAACAATTTGGTGACATTTGTGGACATGATGTAAGTTCTTGGTCCGTCCCCAGATTCCGATTTGGTAGTACCGATTGGCGCTCGCCGACGCAGGCATCGATATCTTTCTTGCCGCCCGCGCACAGGTAGCTCGCATGGAGTCGAACGGGCCGTTGTCTCACTGCTTGTAGCATTTGGAGGCATTCAGCACGTGGCACAAGGGGCATGGTCAGCTCCTTGAGAACATTCACAGGCTGCCTGTCCGCCGTGGACCTTTGGCCCCAGCCCGTCACAATGCAGTTGGCATGATCGACATGGGCAGTGGCAGGGGGCAGGCAGATGGACGAGATGTGCGGATTGTGGCTGAGGCTGAGCTCAAGCACAAGCAGCGCTATATTGTTGGCATTGGCTGCCTTGGAGTGGTTGCCACGGATGAGTATTTCGCTGACATTGCGATCGATGTGCGGATAGGTTTCCTTATCGCTTGCCAAGTCCCATTCGCCAGCACGAATCAGCAGTCGCTCCCCAGCCAGGCTGTCGTCCTTGTGGGCCGCGGTCAGCGCAATGTGCGGCGCCAGCAGCGAGCCGCCTCCAATATATGTGTGCTCTGGCTTCAGCAGGATGGCCACCATCCAGAGGAACTCGCCCGACTTAGCCTGCAGATTCGATTTGGCGCCGCTCGGATGCCGAGTACCGCATGCCGGCAGATCGTCCTCATCACCATCAGCGGGCAACGTTTCGATCTGCAAGAGTTGAACGAGGATCCTTTGCTGACTCCGATTGATTTATCATTGTGCGTACCTTGTCCAAGTGACAGCAGGATTCCAAATGGCTGCACGTGCAGACCGAAATCGGTCTATATGATTCCCATGGATATTTTGAGGTTCTTCTTTACACTGCCACACTGTCTGTAATAATAATTATAGTAGTAATATGAAATATAAGTAGCCTAACCAAAAAAGAAAGCTCGAGTTTCCTGATTTTTTCGACTTTCCACTCTGAGCTCCGACTCAGACATTCGGGCAACTCAGACGAAACTAATTTAGGAGTTGGTTTGCTTCCACTTATATTCAAAGATTACTCACCACGTGCTAGCGAAGGCGATAGCCCCTGGTCGGATTGCCGTATTATTTATATAAGTATCAATTTGTCTGAATAATCGTCTTATATATGCAATGTATGTATACTTCTTGTATCATTTAATATACATATAAGAGATTGTTCATAATCTCTCGTTCTCTTGTAGATGGGATTCAGTCAATTTCTCGGAATGGCCAATAGATATATAGACAGTTTTATTTACCTATGTATATAGATTGTATTTATATATTAATTTATATATTTATATATTGTATTGCTTTCTTCTTAATCTAATAGCAGAAACCTTTTGCCATTGGAATAAAGAGTATGGTAAGACTTTACACTCATATCGAACCAACTAAGCTGTCACCAAATAGAGCAATTAATCGCAAATGTTGCGATCCATTGGCCATTAAGTCAACAAACTGCTTCAAGCAATGTACCAGATGTTGGCCAACGAGTTCTTAACAACGTGAACACAAGAGACGGTGCGGCTTTTCAGGTTCTACCCAGCTCCTGCTTGGCTCCTTCTACCAGTACATAGTTTATATAGTTCCCAGTTGGCTAATTGCTATTAGCCATGAGCCGTGGCGACATAAAAGAACTCAAAGAATTCGCTTTATTAATAGTGGAAATTTTCCTTTTTGCAGGCAGCTGCACGCAAAGTATTTCATTACATGACAATCGCAAAACTAATTACAGTCGGGTGTCACCGACTGCAGAACACGCATTCATGGCTCAAATGTACTTGTAGAGTATTTTATGTTGTGAACAGATTCCTGTTCATTAAAATTAAAAATCTTATAAATTAATAATCTCCTCGTGCTTTAAACAGTTTATCATATGCAGAAAATAATTGAAATTCCAAACAATGCATTTAAATTGACTCTAAAGTTCCGATTAAATAACTGAAGAATGCCTTGCCGACTGCAATCAGTTCGAATTGGTCTGGGGTGTGGATGTCTGATGTTTGAGTTATTTGGGCCCTCTGCAACGGAGGACACTGCGGCAGGGGGGCGTGGCCTGAGCGCTGTATGCTGTCCAGTGCAATTTGAGCGGACGTTTTCTAATAAACATTAAGTTGACATGAGAAACACACCAAACAAATGAAGCAAATGCATTTCATGCTTTGGCCATGCTGACGCCCCGGGGCGGCTACTGGTTGTGAGTGAACAGAGAGGTGGGCTGACGGGCGTGGGGGCGTGCCATCTGGTTACTAATGCTGCGCTGATTTCTTTCCTTTTTTTCCTTTCCCGTTTCGTTTTTCATAGCCGGCTTTCAGCGCTTGCACCGCAGGATATGTTTACAAATTGAAAAATATAGCATGCGACCGCCAGAACGTGCTAAAAAGGGCAGCGCACCGTGGTGCGAAAGCAATTGAAAAGTGCTTCTTCTGTTAAGTTTATATAGCCAACGAATTTATATTATATTA